GCATGACGCTCCACCTGGCCCGCAGCTCCTCTCTCCGCGCTCCCTCCGCTGCGGGGCCCGTCAGCACCGCGGACAGCGCCTCCCGGCCCCGCGGGTGCAGCTCTCAGCCGGTCCTGCGCGCGCGCCTTCGCCTCCCCCCCTTCCTTTAAAAAATGAACTTGTGTCACTTTTACTTTGGGGCTGGATTTTTTTTGTTTGTTTCTTTTTTTTTTTTCGTTATGTTGTGTGTGTGTGTTTTTTTTTAAAGGGGACTCGCCCACGTGTCCCCGGAGTGATGAAGCTGATTGGCTCCGGCCGATTTTGGGGGTGATGTCACAGCTCCGCAAGCCGCTGCCCGATTCCCTTTCAGTCTGATTAAAAGAGACACTGAATTAATTACAGCACAGACCCAACTGTTTACTGGCGGTTTCCACACGGTTTGCTTTCGTTAGGCCGGTGATGAGGCTTCTAATGAGGGTGATTAGCTGAGGGGGGCACGGGCCGGCGGGGAGGGGCCCGGAGCCGGCTGCCACTGCCGGTGGGTTGGGATGTGAGGTTTTTTAAGTTTCCCCCGACCCTTTCTCACAATTATTCAAATGATTCGTCCGCGGGGCTGTCATAGACCCTTTTTCTCTCCCTCGTCTTTTCTTCCTCCAGCAACGGAAAGGGGCTAAACCCAGCAGAGAGAGAAGTGTGCGTGCGGAGAAGCCCTGTCCTGCAGCGGGGGAGAGCTTTTGATTTACGTTGCACTGCTTTCGGGCACTTCCATTGGGTTCTAGATGTTTCGAATGTGAGACAATCTGCAGTCCTCTCTCTGCCCCCTTAGGACCCTGCGGCCTGGCAGGGGTGGGGAAAGCCTGGCGTCTGCCCCGAGAGGGGGCGGGAGCGGTGGTTTCGCGGTGGAGCGAGGGTGGAGAACGCGGGAGGATCGTGTCTGGGACTTGGGGGGACCCCGAGAAATCCGTGAGGGAGGCGACGCAACGCACCAGAAAGGCAGGGACCCGGACCTGGCCGATAGCCCTCCCGTGGCGCGGCCCGCGGGTCGGGCGTTTCTGTACCTCTGAACAGGACCGCGCCAGAGCTTCCGAGGGCGAGTGTAGACATCTGCGAACGGCTTCTTAGTCCACGCAGAGCGGGAGCTCGCCCGCGGGTGTATTCTTAAGGCAGCGCCGGAAACGCGGTCCTTCCATTGTCCCTGGCGCGCCCTCTCGCCCGCCCCGCTCCGCCGCGGGCTCGCTCCGCGCCTTTCAGGTCTCGGCCTCTGGCCTCCGGTGCCGGCGCCCAGCGCGGCGCGCAGAGCCAAAGCGCGTCCCAGGCCTGGACCCTCCTGACGCGGCCCCTGGGATCGCGATCCGGGTCCGCGGTCCAAGGGCGGAGGGAGCCCAGCCCGCGGCCTTGCCGCGCGTCCACGCCCGGAGCCCCGGCGTTCCGGGGCGGGCCCGCCCGCCCCTGTCCCCGTCCCTAGGGCCCCTAGAAAACCACCCGCGCCCCGCGTGTCGGGCTCAGAGTCCGAGACCGCAGCGGAAGAGTGAGGCGCCCGTGACCCCCAAACCCGAGACCCGGCCCGGGGAAGCCTCGCACGGCCGGACAGAACAGAAACTTTCTTGCCCCGAGGGCGAGGTCGGCGGTGGCCTCCAGCCGGCTCCGCGCGCTCTCCCCCTGCGCCCGCCGGCAGATTGGAAGCGGAC